GCTCAAACTTAGCTAACCTCAAATTCTATTTCTAATTTGCTTTTATCCTTGCCATCGTTCAACTTTTGCTTGAGGCTATCAATTTTACTGGAAAGTGAAACAGCCGACAGCTCCGTATTGCCGAACTGTGCAATATCAAGCAATGAACGATATAGAAAAATATATTGTTTCTGCAAAGTAGAAAAAAAAAAACGTTTTAATGAAATTTGCATGTATTTCTATGTTAATTTCGTAGTCAGCGCCTCACCAATGATTGTACAAGGAAATTTCGCTGGTGTCGCAAGTCGCATACCGTATTGAATATCGATACTTGGTCTTCCTCCTCCAGCTGTTGTATAAGTGAATCTAATGCGACAAGCGTACCTGTACGGCCCACTCCAGCGCTGCAATGCACCAAAATGGGGCCGCGCTGCACTGAGTAAACTGCATTGATTTGTCGAACAAATTTTATAATGCCATGTGGATGCTCTGGTGCCATGAAGTCCTTCCACACCAAATAATGATACTGTGTAATTTGGCGCCGTTCTTCATCTTCTTCATTCCCAGTCGCATTACGGCGTGTTACATCCAAATTACGCACCAAATAATCGCCAAGTTTCTTTTCAGCCACAAATTTGACAGTGATTTCGCCAAACTGTTTTGCATCCGATATCTTTTCAGGCCAATATTTTGCACATTTCGATTTATTATACTCTTCCAAATTTGTTAACATGACTATAATCTCCAAGTGTTGCTCCCAGATCATACGCCAGAAGTCACTTACAGTACTCTCCATAGGGCCTTGTGCACAAATGAACTTTTTACGCTCCTTGTAGCCAATAACAAAGTTAGCATTTATATAATCAGAGCCTTGTATGCCATTTAGCTGCGACAATTTCACCCGCGTCTGATCGTAAGCCTTGATATCTGGATAACGATTTTTCGATGCATTTTCTTTCATATCAGAGTTTTTAGTTGTACGATCGCTAAATCGATTCGGCAACATTTCGTATTCGCGTAAAAACCCATAGTCGGTGTCCTTATGACGATTTCGATATGCTGTGCATAAATCCGTTTTATGAATTGGACCGATGTCCGATGCCTTGCCATTGCCTGAACCAATAAAGTGACGATGATTTGGTGTGCGACCACGGAATAGCGCGCGACTATGGGTGAGAGTATAAAATTAAATATTAATTATTTTTAAAATGAAAGCCAGCGTCACTTACCTTAATGAATCCCTCAAGCTGATCTCTTCGCCTGGCACGGAATTCTTTGTATTGTAATGATGCAAGAAACATGTGGCCACAATGAGCACCAAAACAATGCCAATGAGTATGGCAAGCGCTTGTATGACTATATTAAGCACCACTGATAAATCTTGATCAGCTTGGAAGTTTTCGGGCACAGTACCAGGTGTGATTATTTCAAAATAATTACTGTATGCAGTAAGTACAACATCGCCATCGCGTACTAAAAAGAGTAGAGGATTTAATCGATAATTATGCGCTTACAAGGCTCGTATTTGTCGTTATCCACATATCGACTGCTGAGTGGAAGATTGAGCTATCTCGGCAGCCATTTCAAAAACACCCTATCTCAAAAAACTTTTCAAGAACGCCGCTTCAGAATTCGTTTCAAAAACGCCCTATCTCAGCTGCAGATTCAAAAACGCCCTATCTCAGCATATTTTCAATACATTTTGAAGTTAGAAAGAGCGTTTTTGAAACGAATACTGAAACGGCGTTCTTGAAAAGTTTTTTGAAATAGGGCGTTCTTGAAAGGTTTTTTGAGAAAGGGCATTTTCGAACTAGGTGCCGAGATAGGCCGATCTTCCACTCAGCAATCTATAGTTTTTGTTAAATTCATTATTATTCTTTTTAGTTTTTATTTACACTTCATTTTTTTTTTGACAATTATCTAAATATTTATCATATCGATATGCAAAGATTTAGATAATAACAATTGATATAGTTATCGTTATATAATTAAAAATAATTTTTTCATTGTGTTTATCGATATAAATATTAGTATTATTCTTGATATAATTAGCGTTTGCCTTGCATAATACAACTGGGGAAACACAACATACTCACCTATAACCTCCAGAAACCCCGTATAATTACTATTCATATCGATCTCACCATCGACTACTTCGTCTGACGCCAACTGGTAGCTTGGCACAGCATTCGAATTCGATTCATTTTCACTAAGCATCAGATTATCGAAACTTATATCATTGTTGACGCCTGCAATAACTTTGGGATTACGTCTACGTCGTCGCCGGCGTTTTTTATCTAGAATCTTCGAGGCGGCTTCGGTGAGATTGCTGGCTTTAAGTTGTTCGCGCTGTGACATTTCTGGTGGAGTTTTAATAACAGCTGTATAACACAAATATTTGATTCATATACATATACAAAAAAAAATCCGCTTCGAATAAAGTACAGACAATTTTTCGCAAAATATGCAAACTTTCACGAAAATTTAAAAAACTCGAAAATCAAGCAACTTCAAAATTGCACTTTGTTATACTAAAATTGACTGGTCTCTAAAACTGCATACTTGGAATTTCTCTTTAGTGTAGTAAGGACTTACTTTTTATAAAAAATTATCCACAAGAAATTAGAATGAAAAACTTTAACTTTTGCTATACTAATATTAAATAGTCTATAAAACTGTATACTTGGAATTAAAAAAAAAATCTGAATAGAAAGTTGCAAATTTATTGAATTATCCGAGTTTTGCAAAAAGTTTAGAGATTTTATTTTTATATTCTTTGGTGTAGTGAGAACTATATTTTTATTAACAATTATGGAAAATCAATTAGAATGAAAAACTTTGCATATATGCGAAAAGTTCTCTGTGCCCATACTTTTGTTCGTCACAATATATAATCAATAATTTACTTACCGTCCGTAGATATCTCTGTGTTTGGAACTTCGACTTTCGAAAGCGTGACTGGCTCACGTGGTTGAATGCGCAAAAATGGCCGACCACGCAGACAATGGCGGCAAGCTTTATCTGCCTCAACTGCTGTCAAGCCTTGGTGTTCGAAAAATCGTTTGCCATCGCCCAAAAATACTTCCGATCTATATTGGGAATCGGAAAACATCTCCGCCAAATATGCGCCACCTTCAGTGTTATTTGGCGAATGCACCTCTTGATAGGTGGAAATATTTAGCTTTTCGGGCGATGCCAACTCATTCTTATTATTGCCCATACGCACTAAGTACAGACGATAGCAACATATGGGACCATTACGTTCACTGATACGAGGCACAAAGAGTTTAAATACACATTTATCATCCGCGGCCTTCACTTTCGTCCACATGATACGACTGATGGTATCGGGTACTGCAATTGGCATCGTGCATTGTGCACTGGCAGGTACACCGATTTTGCGATGGCGCGTAATAGCCGACACTGTGACTGTGTAATTTGTATTGGGATTTACACCGTTGTAGATTGTGCTATGATGCGGCTCGTCTACGCGACGTATTTTCGGTCCCCATGTTTCATTGCGCAATTTTCCATCAAGCTTATATATGGCGAGACCATCTAATTGTATGTGGTAAGAAACCACTTTGCCATTTGGCACTTTCGGCATATGCCATCTAACGGCGACTGAGTGACGGGTGTTGTTTTTGTGATCGCATGAAATATATAGATCTGTAGGCTCACTAGCCACACCATCCATTGTTGTGCCATTCACCACTTCTGACCAGGGTCCACATTGCTTTGTGAGGTCACTACAGGCCCGTACCTTAAATTCATACTCGGTGGCAGTTTTGAGATTATCAAACATATATGGCAAGTTTCTAGAATTTTGCTGATAAACCGTCTCTTCGACAATACGTGGAATTTCTCCAGCTTCGGCAACCACCAGCTCATAGTATTGTATGTAGGGGAGCATATCAAGTGGCGGTGGATCCCATCCAATTGTGATAGTTGATGGTGTACTGCCAGTGGTGCCTACTTTGGGTATAAAAATCGGATCTTTTTCCAATGTACGTATCGGAAGCGGATACTGATATGGCGCCCCACTTCCAATACTATTCTTTGCACTAATGCGCAGTGTATAGCTGGTGTTCGGCTGAAACTTCTCCAATACATACGAAGTATTGCGCCCACCAATTATGTGATTATAATATTTCAATGTGCTGGAACCTTCCTCCTTATACTGTATGAAGTATTTTTGCACTGGATCATTACCATCGTTAACAGTCCAATTTAAATATATTTTATCTGCGCCCACTGCTTTAACATAGTCAATGCTCACTTGTGGTACATCCATAACCAAAACTGCCATATCCTTTTTCGACACAATCGCGCCAAGTGTATTGTAAGCAACACAACTATATGTGCCATTCTCTTTCTTGTAGACTTCTGTCAAACTAAGTGTATGATTAACATGTGTAGCATTTACCAAACTGAGATTCGTGGCTTTATCCAAGAAATCAACGGCTGAATTTTCATCTTTCAACCATTTTAATTGCTTATAAAATGTTTCGTTGTGTGGAAATACTTCCAAGAGGCAGTAGAGTTCCACAGCGTGGCCGATCCTTTGCTTCACCTTCTCTTCGCTGCTCGCAACGAT